AAAAAAAAAAAAAAAGAAAAAAAAAGAAATCATCTCGTCGTGAGGTAAAATTCGTCGGGAAAATTCGAACGTTCATCCACTTTCGCCACGGTTGCACTCCAAATTGATTCTTTCGACGACACTCGATACAATGCCCTCGGATCTTGGCGATCCAACCAGCCAAGCCAAGTCAGAGCCACGGACGCCAGCAATAAGTTTGATTGGGTTAACAAATTGTCACGCTCGTCTCGAGGAGGAAGAGGCGACGTTTCAGGCCACTTCTTCGTAATAGGCAATTGTGGCTTGCTGCACTGAAATCGACCGTGTGCGTGTCCTAAGTAAATAATAAAATCGTTCGAGCATGTCAGTCTGTCGTGCGACATCATCCGCGATCCACTCGGTGTTTTTCCTCGATCTCCGATTCTCGAAACGTACGATCAGATTCGGCGCGAAGTTAAGTTCGCACTGTTGGATGGAAAATTCTTGTTTTAAATTTTTGTTTCAATTTGAAAGTGAGAAACATTCATCGTGGAAGATGCGGTGGAATTTGAACAAGATTATCCGTAATTTTGAAGAATTTCATACTTTTCTTTTGTAACATGTCGAACATGTAATTTGAATTGTGCGATATATTTGGTTGATGAATAAAATGACTATTAATTATGTGTGTTGTGTAAAGTATGTGATGCAGAGGAAATGATTTTTTTTTTTTTTTTTTTTTGACGTTTAATAATTACGTGACGTTAGAAGAAAATGTGTACTAGTATCATTCGGGAAGTATCGTTTTTTAAATGTAACTTTGATAGTAAGTAACTGTTTCTATGTTACGAATTCCAAATTTATAAAAATCGAGAAATTCGTAAAATTGGTGGTGTTTAAGTTTAGCTGTCTGTTTGTGTTTTCCTAAAAGATACTGAATTTTAAGATATAAACTTAGGTAAGAAATCGTAGAAATAAACTTTGATAAGAAATCATAGAAATTATGATAGAATAATAATCATAGAAATAAACTCGGATAAGAAATCATAGAAATTATAATAAAATAATAGATATAAACTTGGGTAAGAAATCATAGAAATTATTTCCTAAATATGAACTATAAATAAAGTAAATGTTTGAAAATTGATAGTAAAATTTCAATATTTTTGCAAATCGAAATTGATAATAAAATCATCGGTATTCTTATCATGGTTAGCAAATTTCGAAGAAACGACATATCACACACCAAACTAAATTATAATAATTAAATAATTAAAAACAAACGACGAAAAATTCCCCAGCCTTTCACATTTATTATACTGTTTTAAAATTTCATTCTTTCACCTCATTTTCTTGACATGTGTTACATTCAACAAAGAAGAATAACAGTTCAATCAATCAACGCTGAGAACGAAATCACGAAACCGCAGTTCAAGAAGTTTTTTTCAACGTTTACACACGACACAGTGAAGTTTCAAAATCTGAAACATTTTTCATCCAGTGTAAACGTTCGTGGATTCTTAAATTTTTTTTCATATCCAGCGATTTTAAAATGTCGAAGCGGCTTGCGTAACTCGATTTCTCTCGTATCCTCGGCGATTCTGAATCAGTTCGCGAATGATTCGACGATTTGGCGAGCAAAGAAGGGTAGAATTTCGGCTTGAAACGCAGTTCACGTTTTATTGGTCAGGATTTATTCTGTCCTCCCCTGAAGAATATTCACTCGAACGTTCGCTTTAACGCTCGGTGTATTTAATGGCGTCGTGAAAACTTGGCCGTTAACCTTGATGAGAAACGAAGTATATCTACCTGTCGTTTATTTCTTCCAGCGGGGAAACCTCGTGTTGCAAAACCTGGACTTTTATTGTAAATCCCCGACAATTCTAAATAACGTTATCCGACGTTCATCGTGTTTTCCCAAACGTCTGCGTTTTATTTGTCAAACGTGAGGACTATTTTCAGCCTCTAATGTAATATTTTCTCAGTTTTAAGGCGAAACAGATAATAAATTTATTGCTTCTCAATAATTTCTATCGTACCAAAGGAAACGACGAGTCCAAAAGAAAAAGAAAGCGACGAGTTACTGTGCACGGTTTGGTCACTCGTTAAGGTCCGCAGTCAGTTAGTTGCCAGCGCCTTCTCTGGCGATTGACGATCAAACATTTTCATTTCTGTGAAAATTATGAAAACAGCAGCTATTGAATATAAAATTTAATGTAAAATTTTTACGTTTTTTGTTTATATTTGTCGAAATTGTTAGAAATTAAAAAAATGCTCGATCGTCAATCTCTAGTAAATGTTACACTAAAGATACGTAACCAAGTTTCATAGTAATCGGTTGATTAGATTCCGTTTCTACAAACCTAGTAATTTCGAGAAAAACGCGTTTAAAGTTTCAAAACGTCCTTTACTTTTTTTTACTTGTATATCGCGGTTCTCAGTTCTTGCAATTCACGACTAAATTGAATCCAAGTCCCCTAACATTCGATTCCATCAAAAGTAATATTCGAATCACACGATTTACACTTAATAATACTGGTTAAAGTTGTGAACAGTGATGCAAATTGATGGATTTATTGTTACACCCCAGAATAAGTCGTTTTAAAGTCTAAGACCTTTTGTACCTTCTAACACTTCAAACTGCTATTTAAAACAAAAACAAAAAAAAAATTTTTTTTTGAAACTCTCAAACTGTCCCCTTGAATACACTTAAAACTGAGAAAACGTTGCAATTCGGAACGAAATAAAACTTCCACGCGTGCGTGACACGTCATTCCAGAGCAAGAAATTAAACCAAAGAAGTGCCCGAAGAAGAGTGTTTCCTAACCCAGAGAGCAAACTAACGTAAATATCAATCGAAACGAGATCAAGAAAGTATAATAACTACCAGCGTTCGAGACTTGAATACATGGAACAGTCGTCTCTTATCATCGAGGGAGATTCTCATCGACAGTTCAAACAACGATAATCGAAGAACAATCCTCCAGATGAAATTTCGCAAATCGTCCGCGTCCAGCCCGAAAATGGAACTGCTCTCGAGGCGTTCGTCGAGCGACCGGACGTCGACCCTGAAGCGGTCGAGGTCGTTCCGGGCCTCGATGAAGCTCATGTCGAAGCTACGAGCCCACGCGAGCCTCCGCTTGAACGTCGGCTTCGATCTCTCGCCTTCGGTGTCGTCGCGCGGCACGAAGAAACAACGAAACAAATCATCCGCGATCGAGAAAGAAGATCCCGGCCGAAAGAAGAGCTCGATCGCCAGTGATCTGAAGAGCAAATTGCGCCTCACCGAGAGAATCGAGGAGAGGAACGATGACACCACCGTGTCTCCTCCGTTCGTACCGCGTGTATTTCGCTGGACCTCGGTGGCCAACGGCGTGAAAGAGAACAATAGCGTTTGCCCTGGCGACCACATGTCCTACGAGAATCCTACTTTCCGGCTGGACAGCTCTTTGGACTCGTCCGTGTCTGGTTTCCTGTTCGAAACGGTGGCGAGCGTGGAGGAACCTCTCGAGGAGGAACCTCGTCCATCGGAGAGGAACCTCGATGATGGATTAACGATCGTCATCGATAACGACTCGAACGAAACCGTGCCGGCTGGGACGAGTCTCGTTAAGAAGAATCGTCCGGTGTTCGACGCGACGAAAGGAAGAAGCTTGTCGGTGGACGACGTGGTGTTGCAGAACGAGGAAGCGGCGAGCAGCCTGGTGTTGAACGCCGTCGACTGGAAGAGCGATCACGCGATCGAGAAGGTGCTGAAGAACGAGAAAATTCGAAAATCGTCGCCGGCATGCTCGTCGAGGTCGTGCAGGATACGAACGGTGGACAATATCGCGAATTTTTGGACCAACGCTCGCGGCGGCAGCTTTCGTAACAAGGTGGGCAGGAAGAAGTCGATGAGAGACTCGAGGGAGCCCGAATCCATGGACGGTAGGGTCGTTTTCACGACCGCTTCTGGATCAAGTACGGGCCATCAGGTTTTTTTAATCAGTTCGAACGACTTTTCTTTTTCCTTTTCTCGTTTTTTTTTTTTTTCCTTTTTTTTTTTGAGAACTGACGTCAGTTTTCTTGTTTTTTTTAGCGAAGGAAAAGATGAGTTTAATACGAAGTTTCGACGTGACGATTTTATTATACTTCAGTGACTTACGGATCTTAATTTTAGACATTTATTTCTAATATGTTTATTTGATATATATATATATATTTCATTTATTTGATATTTAATGACGTATATACAATAATTTCGATAATTCCGATTAAGGAGCTAGTTTTTATATAAATTCAATCTTACAATTATTAATCACAATATATATATAATATTATGATTAAAGGATTAGTCTGGAAATTCAGTATCCACTTTAATTTTAAAATTACACAGAATTGTCATACATTTATTTCTAATAGGTTTGTTTCAACGTAATATTGCAATTGAGGAGATAATCTAGAATTTCACTTCGTCGAAATTATCGTACGTTTATTTCCAAGACGAAAGCAACAAATTTTTTTGAAAATAGTGCATGATGCAAGAGAGAGATATATTTTCATCCGTATTATTTACAAGCACCTTGTAAAATTTACAAAAATTTACATAAATTGTCAATCTCAGCTTCACTTCGAATTTTTCTTTAATTGTAAAGAAAAAAATGCTAACAATTAATTTTAATTTTACACGTTTACAAGCGACCTAACTCTGTAAAACAATAACAAATAAGTCATGTGACTCGATATATATATATACTTTTTTTAGATAAATTGGGTTAATTAATTAATTTTTGGGAGGAAAAAGAACAGGAGATAAAAAGGGAGATTTTAATAGAGAATATACAAAATGTATAATAATTAGTATACACGGATGAACAAACAAATTGCATAATCCCTTGAAACATCATATTTATATAATATTAATAATAACAAAAATAATAATAATAACAGTAACAAAAAGTAATATTAATAATAACAAAAATAATAATAACAGTAACAAAAAATAATATTAATAACAAAAATAATAATAATAATAATAATAATAACAGTAACAAAAAGTAATATTAATAATAACAAAAATAATAATAACAGTAACAAAAAATAATATTAATAACAAAAATAATAATAATAATAATAATAATAACAGTAACAAAAAGTAATATTAATAATAACAAAAATAATAATAACAGTAACAAAAAATAATATTAATAACAAAAATAATAATAATAATAATAATAACAGTAACAAAAAGTAATATTAATAATAACAAAAATAATAATAATAATGACAGCAACAAAAAGTAATATTAATAATAACGAAAATAATAATAATAATAATAACAGCAACAAAAAGTAATATTAATAATAACAAAAATAAAGTAATAACAGTAACAAAAAATAATATTAATAATAACAAAAACAACAACAACAATAATAATAGTAACAAAAAGTAATATGAATAATAACAAAAATAATAATAATAACAGTAACAAAAAGTAATGTTAATAAAATAATAATATTAATAATAATAATATTAGTAATATTAACAAACAAAAATATATTAATAACAACAGAAGTTATAATAATGATATTAATAATGGACAGAAGAAGTAACAAATACAAAGGATATTTTAATAGAAAACATAAATCATAATTAATCACGTAAACAAATAAACTCTACAATACGAATTAATTGAATTAATTAATATAATTTATAAGTCTCTCACAACAAGTCATCATATTTGCCAATTCGCGTAACGCGATCGAAGATCGAGAAAGTCGCATTGAAATCAAAGAGAGACATTATTTCCTTTTTGCTTGTTGCTCCTTATTTTGCTTTTTCAACTGCTTCAGTGTGACATCGCGCGAGGAAAGAGGTGAAAAGAAAAGAAAGAAAAGAAAAGAAAAGAAAGCGCATTAATTAACGCTGCACGGTATTAAAGAAAAGTAAAAATATTCGGGATTCTTTTTTAAACTCTCTCCCTCTGCGTTTCACTTTGTGCAAGTTTCACCTTTTTAAAATGAACATGTTCACTCGCACGAACAGAAAGATTCCTTTTTTTTTTTTGACTACGCAACAGTAGGTCTTCACGTTGTTCAGGACTGTTGTTATCAGACAGTCACGCGAGTGAAAAAAATCCTTCTCCGCGTCATTGTCAAGCTGTTGTCCGCTCATTTACTTTCTCGTCGCCGAGTTGTCGTCCCTTTTTCTTTCTTTTTTTTTTTTTTTCTTCATTTTCCCTCGTCTTTATTCAGTTTCCTTTGATTTTGTGTTCACGCAGAGCTGTACTCTTTGCAAGGGATGGAGTTCCTGGAGGGTTTCGGGAAGAAAAAGCATCAGGCAAATCAGCAATCGAACAATATCTCGTCGGTGCACATCAATCCCCTAACAGCACAGTCTCTCAACATACACTTGCATGGTATCTTTTTTTTTTTTATTTCTCCATCTTTATTTTCGCCTCGTTCGCTTCTTTGTTCAGTTGCTCTTTGAGTATTTTGCAGCGACGTTTGCCTTGGAAAATTTTCCATTAAACGAATAAATGACGAAATTTTGTATTTGTTCAGTTTGTATAAAAATCGTTCGTAGAATGTAATTTTCGTGGTTCTTTGATGTTTGAAACATAAGTTACACAGTGGCTCGCGAAAAGAATTTCTACGTACGTACATATTGTCTTGGGTCAATTTTGAAATTTTATCGACACTAAAATCGTGATTGTACGTATTTGGTAAAACTTTAAACAAATTTGAAAACGTGTATATAAGAGTTTCAAGATATGCTTGAGGGAAAATATAAATACAGGGTTAAACATATTTTGATATTTTCGTGATCTTGTAATTTTCATATGTTTAAATTTGTTTCAAATTTTCACAGATAAAGTAAAATTAATCAAATTTCGAAATTACAATACATACGTACAATGTATATTCATAAAAAGCTCCTACGTTAAAGTATTGTCGCAATAAAACCGAAATAAAATTTTGAAATTTCTATATTTTCATTATGTCTTTCATCATTACAAACAATTCCAAACTTAATTTTTCACTCTTACATTGATTTTATATCTATGTAGTTTCTGTTATCAATTTTTATTACAACAATAAAATATTATAATTAATATTATTATTGATCTGATTTTTATTACAACAATCTGTTATCAATTTTTATTGCAACAATCAAATATTATAAAGCTTGCGTTTAAAAAAAAAAAATGCAAAAAAAATCTCCGAGTCAACTTTTGTTCATCGCTGTATTTTAATTTCTTTTTTTTTTTTTTTTCCTATCAGATTTCGTTACAATATATTTTTTCATTTGTTATTTTCATACATTCGTGGAACGTGTTATTTCCAGTTCGTTAGTGAATCACGAAAATTTCTTCACTCGGTGGCGGCGGGAAATTATTAAAATTATCGTCTGGCAACAGGCGTTTCGATTTACCTCTTATTTTTTCCAGCCCTCTTCGCTGCAGTGGAACATGGCCACCTCGACAAAGCCAGAACAATTTTGGAGTCGACGGACGTGGACGTGAACAGGTGAGTTCTCGTGTATTTTTCTGCTTTCGATAGAATCACGTGTTCAACGTCGCTCGTGAAGTTTCCACGATCCTCTTGAAAACGACTTGATTGTTTCACATTACTTTTAATCCGTCTCTTGCGTCGACTCACGTTTTCTCTTATAAAATGTACTTGTACATTCGTCGTACTATTATTTACTTCATCATACTATTTATTTACTATTTCTCTAACATAGAGTGACCACAAACTCGCGTACGCCAAATTGTCAATGTTCGAAACATTGTCGATATTCGAACTGTTTGCAAAATAGTTTCGTGACAAGAAATCACACGGTGATAAATTAGTTTATTTATTAGTAATAAATTGTTTTGTTATTTATTATTATTTATTATGAATTATTTTGTTATTTATCATTTGTTATAAATTATTTTGCTATTTATTATTATTTGTTATAAATTATTTTGTTATTTATTACTGTTTGTTATAAATTAATTTATTTATTATTTGTTGTAAATTATTTTGTTATTTATTATTATTATAAACTATTTTGTTATTTATTACTATTTGTTATAAATTATTTTATTTATTATTATAAATTATTTTGTTATTGATTATTATTTATTATAAATTGTTTTGTTATTTATTATTATTTATTATGAATTATTTTGCTATTTATTATTACTTGTTATAAATTATTTTGTTATTTATTACTGTTTGTTGTAAATTATTTTATTTATTATTATTTGTTATAAATTATTTTGTTACTTATTATTCGTTATAAACTATTTTGTTATTTATTACTATTTGTTATAAATTATTTTATTTATTATTATAAATTATTTTGTTATTGATTATTATTTATTATAAATTGTTTTGTTATTTATTGCTATTTGTTATAAATTGTTTTGTTATTTATTATTATTTGTTATAACTTATTTTGTTATTTACTATGAGGTTCCTTAAAATTTGCCATTTTACGATTTTCACGAGTCCACAATTTTTCATCGAGTTTTCGTCAGAAATACTCTGCCACAACCATAGTAGTTTTAAATTAACTGTTAATATTTTATCATCGTATCGACATGAGACCAGCAATTGGAATTTCGTTGGAAAAAACGAGGGACGGATGAAAGTGAATTAAATCGTCTTTATAAATAAGCGACGAGACAAGATCGTATCACTTTGGAAATCGCAAAGAAGTTGGCGATCTGACGCGTTGATTTGCGAGGCAAAGGACCGTGGCACTCCACGTGATCCTCATGTAGGTTAATTGCAACTGTTAATTAAATTCCCTGGCAACTCGGGAGAACAAGCCAATTAACATAGAACTGGACGATGGATTTTGGAATATATACGCACTCTGTTTCAAACCTGAGCGTTATTTGAATAAAACGTTTGAGAAATTACTATTTAAACCTTCGTCCGTCTCTTGTGTCAATTTGACACACTATTCTTATAAAATTGTTACGTTATTTTGCATTTTACACGTGAGTACAAATGCAGAGGTGAAATTCTGTGACGTCTATTTTTCTAATATATATATATATTTATTTATTTATTTATTTATTTATTTATACTTATATAATACAATATAAATATATATGTATAATATAATTATAATTATGTAATACAATATATATATAATATAATTATAATTATATAATACAATATAAATGTATATATATAATATAATTATAGATACTATATAATTATAATTATAATTATGTAATACAATATAAATATATATATATATATAATATATTAATTTTATATATATATATACACAATCAATTCCTGAAGTGGGTTCCACAAGTTACGAAACACCCTATGTGTATATATATATATATATATATATATATATATATATATATATTTATATTTATATTGTATTATATACATAAATATAAATATATATATTGTGTATATTCGTAACTTGTGGAACCCATTTCGGGAGCTGATTGTATGCCTAAAAAAAAGTCATATAAATATACGTCCTGTCTGTCTTCGTTTATGAGATATAATGAATTTTATAAACAGTGCAAACTCTAGTAAGTTAATTTTACCAAAGATGGTACATTCAATTTTCATAATAATCATAATTGGGATGAAGGAAACCCACATGTTATTGTGCATTCAAGACATCAACACCAGTTTAGNTGCATGATGGAGCTCCGCCGCATTTTAGCCGAGTGGCTAGGCAATTTTTAAATCAACACTTTGCAGATAAATGGATTGGTCGTGGAGGTCCTATTGCATGGCCTGCTCGTTCTCCGGATTTGAATCCATTAGATTTTCATTTGCGGGGACATTTAAAATCTATTGTATACGCAACATCGATTGAAAATGCTGAAATACTACGAAATAGAATAGAGCAAGGCTTCCGACAAATTCGAGAAACACCAGGAATGATAGAGAGAGTAACCAGATCAATGGCAAGACGCGTGCAGGCTTGTCTTCAAATGCAAGGTGGTCATTTCGAGCATCTTTTGTAAAAGTAATTAAAAACAGAAAATTCATTATATCTCATGAACATAATTCCGAGTGCATTTTTACAAGTTGTTTTTACATCGCGCAGTAGGGTAATGAAGTAGGGATACCTTTGTTCTTGAAACTTGTAAAAATTTAAACAAAATTTCCCTCGCGAGTAGATTTATCATGGTTTCGAAGATCAAAGTATTCTCTTTACAGCGATCACTTTATTATTATTTTTGTTTTCCACCTTTTTCAGTTAATTTATATTAGAATATTAGAATAGAATTATATTGGAATATTTGTAATAGAAAATTAATAGAAAATCGTACAGCAAGTCTTTAAACAACCTGTCATAAAGAAAAAAATATTCAATATTTCCAAAGACGTTTGAATTTTTGTTTTGTCCTATTCCACTCGCCAGATGATGTGAAAAATATCTTGAAAGAAGAACGAACTCAGGATTATTCGTTTAAATTCGAGTAAAACTTTTCAATTTTAACAGAAACGTAAATCCGAATGAACGTTTTAAACGAAAGCTATTTAGCATACGTACGTATTTCATAAATATTGAAATTATTGCTGCACGTGAATAACCAAATCGCTTCAAATTTCGTTACAACCATTTCTGTGAAGTTGCAACTATTTCTGTAAAGCGACACAATACTCGAAAACATTGAAATATTCCGACAATATGTTTTTGCAAAAATAGCCGGACCGTAATAGCGTTAAAATCGATTGGCGGCTATTTCTGTGAAGTTATATTTTTGTAAAGCGACGAAATATTAAAACACTTGTATTATTTATAATAATAATATTATATTATGTTTATATATAATATTATTAGTATATATACATATACTAATATTATAAATATTAATATTAAATAGTATATATATATTAATAATATTATAATATTAATAGTATATGTATATATTATTATATTATTATATTTTAATATTATAAGTATATATATACTAATATTATAAATATTAATATTAAATAGCATATATTATAAAATTATATATATATATATATATATTATAATATTAATAATATATGTATATATTATATTATATTTATAATATTATTAGTATATGTATAAATATTAAACAGTATATATATTATTAATATTGTGATATTAATAGTATATGTATATAAACTAATATTATAAATATTAATATTAAACAGTATATATATTTTTAATATTATAATATCAATAGTAATATAATATATGTATATATATTATTAATATTATAATATTATTAGTATATGTATATATTATAAATTATTATATATTAATATTAAATATTATATATATTATTAATATTCTAATATTAATAGTATATGTATTGTTAATATAATATTAATAGTATATGTATATATTATATTATATTTGTAGTGTTATTGGTATATGTATAAACATTAAATAGTATATATATTATTAATATTGTAATATTAATAGTATATGTATTTATTATATCATATTCATAATATTATTAGTATATGTACATATACTAATATTATAAATATTAATATTAAACAGTATGTATATTATTAATATTGTAATATTAATAGTATATGTATATATTATATTATATTTATAATATTATATTATATTTTATATATTTATAATATTTATATTATATCAAAACTGCAGCTTCTGCTCGTGCATTCTGTTTCGAGTGAATCGAGCTGTTCGTTGCAACGTGGTGAAAATTAAAAAAAAGTTCTCCGAGAGAAGAGAAAGAAAAGAAGAAAAGAGCAGTTCGATCTTCCCTCATAAATTTCCAACTACAGTCCGAAGAGAGGAGTAATTTTCCCCGTGAAATCAGCCATGAATTTGCCGTATCGTAAATTGTTATCGGAGAAGAGAAAGAGAGCGTGACGCGTCCCGTGGAAACAGAATGAACAGAACTTGAACATTTTTCCGCTGAATTTCATTTATTCAATTTCCGCGTGTAATCGAACGATCAGACATTTTAAAAATCACTGGCAATTCCCCCTGTTAATCCACCGACGATGTAATTTGCGAAAAATGAAATATCCGCGTCGGCTGAGAGGATGGAGATCGGACACTTCTTTTCAATTGAAATATCCAACCGGGAAATATTTGATTTTCGACGGGCGTTTAGTTTCGCAATCACGCGATTAGGTGTAGTTAAACTATGCAGGTTTTTATGATATATTTTATGGTGTATGGGGATTTTAAATGCACAAAATATAATGTAAAGAACGTACGAACGTATAAAAATGTTCTTTTCTTCTTTTACGATTTTACTTCCTCGGTTATGCGCAGAAATATAAATTTCTGTAATGTCTCAACTTTGTAGAATTAGACTGTAAATGTATCTATTCGAAGGCATAAAAAATACACGAAATGCACGTATTACGTAAAACTATGTAGGATATCGAAATTCTAGGTTTTCTTTCTCCTTTTTCGATTTTATTTCTTCGTCTGTGCGCGCAAAAATATATATAAATTTGATTGATGAAATGATGTCTTAATTTTGCAATTCTTATGGAATTAAACCTTTTACGTGTTTGTA